GTTTAAAAATGTTAACTAACACATATTAACTAACCTCTTTTTTAAAAACACTAATGTAGATCGGATTTAACTCACATAAAAAGGTGTCAACTGGTCAACCTTTAACTTCCCTGTGGTTGACCATGACCAGCTAGCATGTTTTAAAAACATTAAAGTGTGCATGAGGTGGGTGAGAGCAGGGCTGGGTGGGGTGTGTGGAGTAGGTGACTGGGGTTAACGAGTGGAAGAGTGCAAGAGAATTCTAGGAGGGGGGCCAGGTGGGTAAGCAGGTATGTGGTGAGGGCAGGGAAATGTTGGGAAGCCATAGATGTACATGGTATCTGGGAGAGAAGAGGGCCACGTGTGGGGAGTTCCTGGGATGGTGGAACCAGAGTAGTAGACTGGCCATGGGGAGTTCATTCTCTATACGCCAAGGCATTAATGCCTGAAAGGCTCCTTGTGGCACTGCTGTCTCAGCTCCCCTGTGCATCAAGGCAGTGCCCTGGAGGAAGCTGAGGTGAGGAGCAGGAGTCCACACACATAAAACAGATACATCAACACTTGGGGATTGATCTCCTCTCCCGCATTCTCACGCCCAGAGCCCCTTTTGCATACCACGTCTCCCTAACACAATCCCCCTTCCCTACACACAGTTCTCCTCAGCCCATGTCTATCTACCTCCCCACTAGCCATCCCCAGTTCCCCCAACACCAGCAAGCACCACTGGGGGGAGCAGGGAAGTGGCTGTGTGAGAAGGGTATGGTAGTGAGCAGGGTATGTGAGGGGGTTAGGGCAGAGAGAGCACCCTTAGTTTGGCCCTTAATTTGCTCTCTGTTTTGGGACCACCATCTTACACTCCTTGAATTCATTCCACCACAGAAAATACTGCTGGGTGGTAAAAAGAGGGTTATTACCCTAGGGTGTGGGAGGTTTGCTAGGGACAAAGTTCTTTAACATGGCAGATAAATCTCTCCTCCCATTTTCCTTTTGTTTATTCTTCAAAGCAGAGAGGTAGGGAAGCTCAGAGAACAATGACCAAGTATCAGTGCACAAGAACAAAGAGCTAAGGGAGAAGCATAGGAGTATATGCCCATCTAGAATTCAAAGAACTATAAAGCACCAGAAGAGCAACACCACTGAGTGAGAGAAAAAAAGTTAGAAAAGAATGCAGTGATCCATGATGTATGCTTTCAGGGTAACTTGATTCGTTATAATAAGAGTATCTTTAAAATGCATCGGGCATTGAAAGTATATGATGGTGTGTTAAAATCAAAAGAAAGTGATCTGTTAACAATGAACTGCAAAAGCCCAAGTTTCGGATAATTAGATATTGAAATCTAATTCTTGTTACTCTCTTATTTTATTATTTTACTCATTACATGCTTTTCTACTTTCAACTAGACCAGCACTATTATTACTACTAAAGTAATTTATGTAGGGCTGCAAATTTACACAGAGATTTCAGAGTAAGACATATTACCTGTCCCAAAAAAGCTTATTATACAGGCATACAGATTGATTTGAAAATTGAAAGAAACAGCTTATTCATCTGTACTCACCCAATATTCTAACTTACTGTCTCTGTGCTTCCATAAATGAGACCTAGTTTAACCGCAGTTTATCTCTGCTTATGTCAGTAATGTTGAAAATACTATGGAGGTGTTGCTTGCAGTCCCATGAAGAACCTCTTAAAAGCAACATGAATGGGCTATAATAAGACATCTAACCCCTCCAGTCCACCTTAAATTTGGCATCTCTAAGTTGGTCTGTAACTCTGCATCTGTCTTGTTTCAAAATGGTCATATGAAGAGGAAACTATTGTTCAAGATTGCCATAATTATTTGGGATATAAAAGAGAAAGCATATTTTATACTGATGATGTGAGATTTTGAGTCCTTTTCAATGTTTAATTGTTCAATGACCTAAAAACCTTGAACCCTATTTAAAACAGTTAAAATGGAGGCTCCTACTGAATCCTCTAGCTTTAAGGTGAATAATTGATTGAAGGAAGAGAAATTCAGGCCAACCTGAGTCAAGAGAAGTTTTGTCACTGACATTAATGCAGCCATGATTTCATCCAAAGGAGACACTTTCCCTTTGTAGAGCTTCTGGTCCAAGTATCTTCATCAAGATTTGACATGTGAAATAGGAAAAAGCCACATTTTCTAAAAAGAAATCTAAAAATATTTTTCCCAGCTCTAAATTGGCAAATACTACAAGCATTTTCTCTGAAGCATTCATTTTAAAATTTAAGTTAAATGAAACTTATTTCTTCAAATGTATAAGTGCCTAGTAAAAATGTTCTGTCCTCAATTTCAAAGCAACGAGTGAACAGCAAAAAAGCCTTTTTGCATGGAAATATGATGTACTACTCAGAAATGAATTTTAAACTAGTATTTCAGAGGAAAATCTCACCTTCCCTGCTTCTGATTGGGAGAATTCACAAACTTCTAACAAAATCAAAGATGTAGCTACGTATAGCTAATATTAGAAACTAAATGGAAATCTAGCAAAGGACTGGCATGTAACCAATATACCAGCCTTTAATTCTCTAGAAATGTCCAGATGCAACATGACCATCCCACCAATACCACCATTTGGGGGATCACATGTATCCATTCCGTACGAAAACCATTTAAAAATGATCTCTGAGCTATTCATTTATAACAGCAATAATGTCTTCATTGCAGGGCATTCCATGGAGATTAACGATCTCCTGGGACTAATGGCCTATATGTGGATCATTAGTCCGAGGAAGAGCATTTCCTTTATTGTAATAATTTAAATATTCACCAGCAACAACAAAAATCATTATTTTAAGCAATTATCTGTTTTCACTCTTGTGCAAGAAATGATGTAACTATTATTAACAAAAGAGGCACTTCCATTCTTAGACATGTAAAGTTACTGAAAGAAACACAGCATGTTCGAAACAACTCTCCAGCCCTTCCATATGGTTAAACATTTTGTAGGGGAAATCCAAAAAATATGTAATTCTCACAACACATTTTTTATATTTTGTAGGAGTTTTCTAACAATTGTTAACTAAAGAAATACAATCACATGGAAAAATATTTTGTTTTTATTCTCAGCCCTACTCCACAGGTTTGTTTGTGTTAGTTGATCTGTACTGTCAATCACTGATGCAGAAAGGAAAGTTACATTACTCATCCGTAGATGGAGTTCTCAAAGTCTATTGCCTGGGAAGACCCAGACTCACTCATCCTAGTTCCCTGCTTCTTTGGAGTCCTCATTTGATATTCTCAATTGTTGCAAAAGAACTAAGGGCAGTGGGGAGATGGTCCCTTATATAACTTCACACTAAATGTTTTGATTCATGGAGCTCTGATGGCACATATGCAACTCTGCAAAGGCAATATACCTGTTACTGGAGCACTGAGAGTAAGTAAACTTTCCTTTTTCTTGCATGTGTCTATCATTGTGGCAGCGAGGATTTTTAAAGAATCCTGTAGTATAATGTAAATGGGGGGCTGGAACCTAAACTGAAGAATGGGATGAGTTCTAATTTGCTTCATTTTTCTGTTGACCGCAAGGGGCAGAGCTATCAGTGGGAAAGCACACAAAGCCTAACTTAAGAGAAGCAGTCTCCAGTTTTGCACTCACAATTAATTAAGCATACTTGCTGTGTCACAACACAAAGATACCTATCCACCATGAAGATAATGGAGCACTGAATGCTGCTTACCAGAGCTTACAACTAAACTGAACCCACAGTTCCAGGGGATCAAGTCAATACTGATATTACAGAAACATACACTACATCTACCATTGCATTATTATTATTTTTATTTATATTACAATAGTGCTTAAAGACCCCAACCAGGATTAGAATGTCATTGTAATAGACATTATGCAACCATATAGTAAGAGTCAATCTTTGCCCTGTAGAATTTACAATCTAAATAGACAAGATAAAAGTTGGAAGATTTCATAGATTCCAAAGCCGGAAAGGATCATTGTGATCATCTAGCCACACACAGGCCATTGAATTCCCCTAAAATAATTCCTAGACCAGATCTTTTAGAAAAACACCTACTCTTGATTTAAAAAGTGTCTCCACAAACCTTGGTAAGTTGTTCCAATGGATAATTATTCTAATTGTTAAACATTTATACCTCACTTCCAATTTGAATTTGTCTAGCTTCAACTTCCAGCCATTGGACCATGTTCTCTGTGAGACTGACAAGTCCATTAGTAAATATTTGTTCTCCATGTAGGTACTTATAGACCAGTGTTCTTCAATTAGCAGCCTACAAGCCAGATCCGGCCTAAAAAGGCCTGCTGTTTGGCCTGCCAGGCATCAGTGGCTCCGTCCTGCTCCCTTCCTGCTACTTTGCCCCAGGCTCCCGATGGCTTCAGTGCTTCCCCTGCTAATCCCAGCTGCGGTGTCCCTATGATGACCAGCCTCTGAGCACTTAGTGTAGGAGTTGAGTCCTTAGGTGCTTTTCAAACTCCCATTAGGTGCCTATCTGCATCTTTAAGCACCTAAATACCTTTACAAATCTGGTCCACAGAAACCAAATAAATTACTTAAAATAAACTTATTTAAAAACATACATGAAAAGTCACTATGTGCTGCATCAAATAATGTACAGTTTGCTGAAGTCTCTTTCTCTCAGCATGCAAAAATTTAACATAATGGTATTTAGACTGCTGAAATGTCTCCATCAGTTGGCCTGACTTGAGCAAACTGATTCATGAGGAGACTGGAGTTACGGTATATTCTGGTACTACTTAGAAAAACTAAAATGTGTGAAAACCAGATGATTATTTAAAGACTAGACAGATCATGCTGTTAAATTGAGATCCAACCCATTTTCCTACAGTAATTTAATATTGTAAACATGGGTGTATATTCCAATTACAAAATATTGTGACTCCAGCAGGCCATGTAGTTAACTAATGAAGATTTGTGCAAAGAAACTTGTTTGGTGAGTTTTATCTAAAATTTTGCACTGACCGATTTTAAAAGCCCCACTGAACTTATTTAAAGTCCTTACCAGTTAATTTCTTCACAGGTTGGAGCCGAACACTGATAGACTGATGTGTGAGTAAGGGGGAGGATGGAAGAGAGCGAGACATGCCCTCCATAATCCGAATGTGCTGCATACCTTCGGTCACTGGGAGTGGTGGAATAGCGTAGTCTGGTTCAAAAGCACAGTCGTTCTCTGTGGAGGTGCCTGACAGGAACGTAAAAATAAAACAGAACAGTTTGTAATAAAAGGCAGCCTACTGTTTTTATCATTTCCTAGACTCAGGAATTTGCTGGCTTAGGCTGGCTAGACGCTTTAATATTTCCATACTATTTCTCAAAAAATCACACAAACTTTTTAGGATTGGACTGCTCCTTCTCATGCTCATCTTACAAAATGTTTATGCTTCCCATGAAGAAATTACATTTATACAATAGCAAACAGGTGAATGTCTGATATAGAGTAATGAACAACATAACTAGTTAGATTTTAAGTTTAATCATTTTGCTTTGTTAAGCATTCTGGAGTGATCAGTTTTCATGAAATTACTACCCTGGGCAAATAACTGATTTTTTTCAGCCAACAAACCAAAAAATCAGAACAAATCTTCATGTTGGTTCCGAAAATTTTTGGAATTTGTCAGCAAATTGGAAAAGTCCACTCAGCTTCAAAAAAGTGTGTGCGTGCGTGTGTACGCATGTCCCTCTTATTACCTTTAGCCCAGTAGTTAGTAGGCCACTTGCCTTGGAGACGGGAGGGTTTGAGTCCCTACTGTGGAGCAAGGACTTGAACTCAGATATATCTCCTGTCAGGTAAGCATCCTAATCACCAGGTTTACAGGCTATTCAGGGGTTGGTTGCTCTCAGTGTCTCCTTTTGAAGCTGTTCCACATTGCACAAATATTTAAATACTCTTTGGAGCAGGGACTTGAATTCAGGTCTCCCTTCTACCAAAGAAGTACCCTTACCACCAAGCTATACGTTATCCCGCAGTCAATCTTTCCTGTTGAAGCGGTTCGACTTTCTATAAATACTTAAATATTAACCGGGCAAAAGAGCAAGAGAGTGTGTGAGAATGACTCTTTGGCCTGGGAGACAGAAGATATAGACTCGGATCTGCTCTGTGCCTGGATTACACAGTGCATCAATATTTACCTTCTTCATTTTACCTGCTTCCTCACTTTGTAATATGATTTATTTATTAATTTGAATTTTTAATACTCTGCAATAAAAGAGCACCACCTAGTGCTCTTGCTAATCTTTCAAAAATACAATAATAAATGATGATTAACAGGTTTGTGCTCACTAGTATCAGTTTTTGTACTCTGTCATGGTAGCTATAAATGTATATTGTATTCTATTTTTCAATTTCATTGCTGCTTTAAATAATTAAATACATTATTTTATTTAAAATAAATATATTTATAAATGTAAAAAAGACATTTACATTCCTAAATTCAAATATTCCTAAAATGAAAATAAAAAATTTGTTTCTTAGAGACTAACCAATTTATTTGGAAACCACAGTATGCATCTGTCAAGGTTCCTCCCCCACTCTGAACTCTAGGGTACAGATGTGGGGACCTGCATGAAAAAAACCTCCTAAGCTTATCTTTACCAGCTTAGGTCAAAACTTCCCCAAGGTACAAAATATTCCCCCCGTTGTCCTTGGACTGGCCGCTACCACCACCAAACTAATACTGGTTACTGGGGAAGAGCTGTTTGGACGCGTCTTTCCCCCCAAAATACTTCCCAAAACCCTGCACCCCACTTCCTGGACAAGGTTTGGTAAAAAGCCTCACCAATTTGCCTAGGTGACTACAGACCCAGACCCTTGGATCTTAAGAACAATGAACAATCCTCCCAACACTTGCACCCCCCCTTTCCTGGGAAATGTTGGATAAAAAGCCTCACCAATTTGCATAGGTGACCACAGACCCAAACCCTTGGATCTGAGAACAATGAAAAAGCATTCAGTTTTTTACAAGAAGACTTTTAATAAAAAATAGAAGTAAATAGAAATAAAGAAATCCCCCCTGTAAAATCAGGATGGTAGATATCTTACAGGGTAATTAGATTCAAAAACATAGAGAACCCCTCTAGGCAAAACCTTAAGTTACAAAAAAGATACACAGACAGAAATAGTTATTCTATTCAGCACAATTCTTTTCTCAACCATTTAAAGAAATCATAATCTAACACATACCTAGCTAGATTACTTACTAAAAGTTCTAAGACTCCATTCCTGTTCTGTCCCTGGCAAGAGCAGCATACAGACAGACACAGACCCTTTGTTTCTCTCCCTCCTCCCAGCTTTTGAAAGTATCTTGTCTCCTCATTGGTCATTTTGGTCAGGTGCCAGCGAGGTTACCTTTAGCTTCTTAACCTTTTACAGGTGAGAGGAGCTTTCCCCTGGCCAGGAGGGATTTCAAAGGGGTTTACCCTTCCCTTTATATTTATGACACGCCCCCCAAATCTCAGCTAGGGTGAAACACTGGCTGGGATTTCTTCCTGGAGCTCTAGGAAAAACAGAGTTTATAAGACACATGCATCTCTAAATATACTACCAAGTACATAAAGACTAACAATATTTTCCACATCTCAAGGACGATTTTAACCAGTTGATTCTGGGAAACTTTCACGGGAGAGTGCATCAGCCACTTTGTTAGAAGCTCCTGAGATGTGTTGGACGTCGAAATCAAAATCTTGGAGAGCTAAACTCCACCGAAGAAGTTTTTTGTTAGTTTCCTTGACGGTGTGAAGCCACTTCAGTGCAGCATGGTCGGTTTGCCCAAACATGTGGGCGTAGCTTTTCCAGAGCGTAGACAATGGCGTAACATTCTTTTTCAGTGACTGACCAGTTGCTTTCCCTCTCAGACAGATTTTTGCTGAGAAACACTACAGGGTGGAATTCTTGATCAGGTCCTTTCTGCATTAAAACTGCTCCCACACCACGCTCGGACGCATCTGTGGTTACTAGGAACGGTTTGTCAAAGTCTGGGGCCCTTAGTACAGGGTCAGACATGAGTGTCGCTTTAAGCTGGTTAAAGGCCTTCTGACACTTTTCGGTCCACTGAACAGCATTTGGCTGTTTCTTTTTGGTTAGGTCTGTCAGTGGGGCAGCGATTTGGCTGTAGTGCGGTACAAATCGTCTGTAATAACCAGCCAAGCCTAAGAAGGATTGAACCTGTTTCTTTGACTTTGGGACAGGCCACTTTTGGATAGCATCCACTTTGGCCTGTAGGGGGCTGATAGTTCCTTGACCCACCTGGTGTCCAAGGTAAGTCACTCTGTTTAGGCCTATTTGACACTTCTTAGCCTTAACAGTTAGTCCTGCCTCCCTTATGCGCTCAAGGACTTTTTGTAGATGTTCCAGGTGGTCTGCCCAGGAATCCGAAAATATGGCCACATCGTCAAGGTAGGCGACTGCATATTCTCCTAATCCCGCTAGGAGACCATCTACAAGTCTTTGGAAAGTGGCGGGTGCATTTCACAGCCCGAAAGGGAGTACATTAAATTCATACAGCCCGAGATGTGTGATGAAGGCTGACCTTTCCTTGGCAGATTCATCTAGCGGTACCTGCCAGTACCCCTTGGTTAAGTCCAAGGTAGAGATGAACTGGGCCCGTCCCAGTTTCTCTAATAGTTCATCTGTGCGTGGCATTGGATAGTTGTCTGGGCGAGTTACAGCATTTAGCTTACGGTAGTCCACGCAAAAACGTATTTCCCCATCTGGTTTGGGAACTAGAACCACTGGAGACGCCCATGCACTTTCAGAGGGGTGGATTACACCCATCTGTAACATATCCTGGATCTCCCGTTCTATAGCAGTTTTAGCTTGAGGAGACACCCGGTAAGGTTGGACCCTAATTGGGTGAGCATTACCTGTGTCAATGGAGTGGTATGCCCGCTCAGTCAGTCCTGGGGTGGCTGAGAACGTTGGCGCGTAGCTAGTGCACAGCTCCTGGATCTGCTGTCGCTGCATACGCCCAAGGGTCATGGAGAGGTTCACCTCTTCCACACCACCAGCACATTTCCCTTCGTAGTAAACACCTTCAGGCCACTCAGCGTCGTCTCCTCCCTGGGCTGTAAACTGACAAACCTTTAATTCTCTGGAATAAAAGGGCTTTAGAGAATTAATATGGTACACCTTAGGCTTTCGGTTGGAGGTGGGGAATGCTATGAGATAATTAACAGCTCCCAGGCGCTCCTGGACCATGAATGGCCCTTCCCACGATGCTTCCATTTTATGGGCCTGGAGCGCCTTTAAGACCATGACCTGGTCCCCTACTTTGAAGGAACGCTCTCTGGCATGTTTATCATACCAGGCTTTTTGCTCTTTTTGAGCATCCTGTAAGTTTTCTTCAGCAAGGGCTAAAGAGGTTCGGAGGGTGTTTTGTAGGTTGGTTACGAAGTCCAGAATGTTAGTTCCTGGAGACGGTGTAAATCCCTCCCATTGCTGCTTCACCAACTGCAATGGCCCCTTAACCTCACGGCCATATACAAGTTCAAATGGGGAAAACCCTAAACTGGGATGTGGTACAGCTCTGTAGGCAAAGAGCAACTGCTGCAACACTAGGTCCCAATCATTGGAGTGCTCATTTACAAATTTACGTATCATGGCCCCCAAAGTTCCATTAAACTTCTCCACCATGCCATTTGTTTGATGGTGGTAAGGAGTGGCAACCAAGTGATTTACCCCATGAGCTTCCCATAGTTCCTGCCAGGAAATTAGTCCCTGCATCTGTGAGGATGTCAGAGGGCCAACCTAACCTGGCAAAAATGTCTGCTAGTGCCTGGCACACACTTTTAGCCCTGGTGTTGCTTAGAGCTACTGCTTCTGGCCATCGGGTGGCAAAATCCATTAAAGTCAGTATGTACTGCTTTCCTCTGGCTGTCTTTTTCGGAAAAGGACCCAGAATATCCACAGCTACTCGCTGAAATGGAACTTCAATGATGGGGAGGGGTTGTAGAGGGGCTTTGACCTGGTCTTGGGGTTTTCCCACTCTTTGGCACACCTCACAAGACTGGACATAGGTAGAAACATCCTTGCCCATTCCCTCCCAGTGGAATGACCCCCCCAAACGGTCTTTGGTCCTGTTCACCCCAGCATGGCCACTAGGGTGATCATGGGCTAAGCTCAAGAGCTTGGCCCGGTATTTAGTTGGAACTACCAACTGTCTCTGAGGATGCCAGTCTTCCTGGTGT